AGCCTGCCTCAGCCTCAGCCTGCCTCGGCCGCAGCATCAGCCTGCCTCAGCATTCAAAATGTGGCCCAGGAATGGAGTTCTGGGAACTAGAAGAACACGAAGTGGCCTACAGTTGGCTCCGGGTATTCAAAATCATGCCCAGGAATTGAATTCTGGGAACTTGAAGAGCACGAAGTGGCCTACAGTTGGCTCCGGGCATCCAAAATGTGGCCCGGGAATGGAGTTCTGGGAAATCGAAGAGCACGAGATGGCCTACTGTTGGCTCCGGGCATCCAAAATGTGGCCCAGGAGTGGAGTTCTGGGAAGTCGAAGAGCACGAAGTGGCCTACAGTTGGCTCCGGGCATCCAAAATGTGGCCCGGGAATGGAGTTCTGGGAGCACCAAGAGCGATTTTGCAAGGATGTCCTAAGCGATTTCGGCTTCGGCGGCAGCCTCCCGGCAGCCTCCCCGGATCCCGCCCAGACCCCCCTGAGGAGTCATGATGCTCTTTTTTGAAACCACCAGAAACCTATCAGCAAGAGCTGTTAGGTAAAAAGGGCTTGACCACCTCGGGCACGACTGGTTTGTCTGGCAATGCCTGCTGACCGAAGTGAACCTGTTTAGCTGGCAACGTGACCGAAGAGTGCCTCGCCTTGTCGCCATCCTTCTTGACAAGCAAATACTGCTTATGCACGCAGGCGGCAACTGAAAGAGGTGAGCCACATTCCGCAGAGCCTCGCCCATATTGTGGCTGTGATGCCCCTGCTGGGCATCGAGCTCCCACTGCAACAACAGCGACTTGCCAAGTTTAGTGAGGCGATCGCCGAGCATACTAACCAACGAATCTGGAGCCACCAACGAACGAATCGAGAGGGAAACTGCCTCGCCGATCACTTCTGCGTCGGACACCTGGCGTGCCTCCACCCGCTTCTTGGTGGCTTCTAACTCCGTCTTGAGCTTGCGCACAAGATTGTCTGCAGCCTGCACGGCTCTAACACGCCGTTGCCTCCTAGCAGCCGTGCGAAAAGCAGACCCTGTCTCCCGCCACACACACAAGGGCGGTTCCCGCAGCCATCGAACTCACCAAAATTAGGCACCATGAGCTAAGCACATCGAGCCAAGATGTTGGGGAGAGCGGCCTGAGCCAGGGCTTGAGCCAGGGCTACGGATCCTCCTCCTCCTCCTCCTCCTCCTCCTCCTGCTCTGCTCTTCCTCCTCCTCCTCCTCCTCCTCCTCCTCCTCCTCCTCATCATCATCATCATCCTCATCCTCATCCTCATCCGCATCCTCATCCTATTCCGCCTCTGTCCCTTCCCCCTCCTCCTCCTCCTCCTCCTCCTCCTCCTCCTCCTCCTCCTCATCATCATCATCATCATCATCATCATCATCATCATCATCATCATCATCATCATCATCATCAGCATCATCATCATCATCAGCATCATCATCATCATCATCATCATCATCATCATCAGCATCAGCAGCAGCAGCATCATCATCATCATCATCATCATCATCATCATCATCATCATCATCATCATCATCATCATCATCATCATCCTCATTATCATCATCATCATCATCAGCAGCATCATCATCATCACCATCATCACCATAATCAGCATCATCATCAGCATCCTCATCATCATCATCATCATCATCAGCAGCATCATCATCACCATCATCACCATAATCATCATCATCATCATCATCATCATCAGCATCCTCCTCATCATCATCATCATCATCCTCCTCATCATCATCATCATCATCATCATCATCATCATCATCATCATCATCGTCGTCATCATCATCATCATCATCATCCTTCTCCCCGTCGCCATTCCCCGATTCACCGCGGATGCAACCACGCAGCCAGCGGCGCGCAGTCCTCACTTCAAGCACTGATGACGACATACTGTCGAGGCACGATGGTCGTGATGATAATGATGATGACGACGAGGTTGATAATGATGATGGTGATGGTGATGCTGATGCTGATGGTGATGGTGATGGTGATGATGGTGGTGATGCTGATGATGATGACGATGTTGATGGTGACGATGAGGATGATAATGATGATGATGGTGATGATGATGATGGTGGTGGTTATGATGATGCTGATGCTGATGTTGATGATGATTGTGATGATGAAGATGATGATCATGATGAGGATGATGATGATGATGCTGTTGGCGGTGATGCTGATGCTGGTGATGATAATGATGGCAGTGGTTATGGTGATGGTGGTGATGATAATGATAATAGTGATGATGCTGATGGTGGTGCTGGGGATGATGATGGTGGTTGTGATGGAGGTGGTGGTGGTGACGATGACGGTGATGATGATGAAGCTGATGATGATGGTAGTGGTGGCGATAGTGGTCATGATGATGTTGAGTATGAAGGGCATGATATGATGATGCTGATGATGCTGACAGTGCTGATCATGATGACGATGACGACGACGATCATGATGATGACGGTGGTGATGATGATGAGGAGGATGGTGATGATGGTTATGATCATGGTGATGATGATGATGATGATGATACCGATGATGAAAGATGATGCTGCTGGCAATGGCAATTATGATGGTGCTGGTGATGATGATGGTGATGATGATGATGATGGTGGTGGTGATGGTGATGATGATAAGGATGGTAATGGGATGGTGATGGTGGTGACGATGACGACGATGACGACGGTGACGACGATGATAATGATTATGATGATAAGGATGATTGTGATAATATGGTGGTGGCGATGACGATGATGGAAGATGCGTGGGGGCGGCTGGCGTGGAGTCAATCTGGAAACAATACAAGAAATACTCATGACCGCGACATAAGCGGAGCGGGTAGGCATGGGACCGATCGATGAATTGGAAACAAGACAGAACTTGATGATCCCTGTCCATACGAGCGCAGCCGGTCCAGTCGAGCTAGCCGCTTGAGAGCACACCCTGAGATCTGCGCTGCCGCACCAATAATAAAACTACACCTCCGATTTGAAAATCCGCCGACCCCTTGTGGGTCTCCAGGCGTGTGAGATTGTTCCCCCCCATTCTCCCCGCCCAGGGACCCCAAACAGCGGTGTTGACCCTCCCCCCCGGCCCCGGGTGGCCCTAAACCAAACTCACCCGGGGCGGTCTGGGCTCCCTGGGCTCGCTCTTGAGCTGCACGACAACACTTAACGCCTCCCAAGAAGCCGCCAAGACGGCCCACGAGAACCTCAAGTCGCAGAAAGATCGCTCCAAGACGCCCAAGATGAGCTCAAAATGGCCCAAGAGGCCGCCAAGACACCCCACGAAGCGTCCAAGAGGCCTCCCAAGAAGCCCCCAAGAAACCAAAATCTTAAAAATCCCTTAGGAAAACGTGCATTTTCAGCAAATCCAACTTGTTAGCCTTCACGGCGTTGAAAACCGCCCACGAGGCCCCCAGAACCAGCCCAAGACGGCCCACGAGGCTCCCAGGAGGCCCCAAAGACAACCCAAAAGAACTCCAACGTGGCCCAAGAGGCGCCCTAGACGGCCCAAGAGAGCTCCAAAACAGCCCCAAGAAGGGCCCAAGAGAGGGACCACGAACCGCGAATTCCAGCGCTCCGCCCAACGAAGCTCGCCGGAGGACCCAAGAGGCCCCCAAGCGGCCCCAAGAGGCCCCCATGAGGCACCCAAGAGGCCCCAAGGAGCCCCCAAGAGGCCCAAAAGAAGCCCCCAAATGGCCCCCAAGACCCTTTGAAACTGCCTCGAAGAGGCCCGCGAGAATCCTCGCCACGAGATCCCAACGGACATCCCAGAGCGTGCCACACACTACCCTGAACTTGACGCATTCTTGCTACTTCTCCTCGCTCTGGCTTCGGAATCCCGCCTGATCGCCAGGAGGCCGCCCGACGGCGCTCCGCGCGCGCGCCCCCGCGCTCGCGCTGAGAGCCGCCCCGGTTCCACCGTCGTCGCCGTCGCCGCCGCCGTCGCCGCCCTCCGCCATCGCCCCCCGACCTCTCACGAGCGACAACATATCCGTAATCATCCGCGCCCTCGCGGTGTGTATTCTGGGGCGCGATCCCGCGGATACGCGTCGCGCGGATTGGTTACGCGCGGGGCATCCCCAGAAATGCCGCGGGAACCAATATGTTTGTCGCCCACGAGAGGGCTGTTTGACACCCTCGGCGTGCAGCGGGAAGCCGTCTCGGAGCTCCCTGGGGGCCGCCAGGGAACGGATCGGGACGAAGCGTGGGTCCCGGAAAATACGATAACAGCGAGGCAACAGGAACGATGTCGAGCTCCGTGTCACGATTCGGAGAAGCCTCGTGGAATGCAGTCCTGGAGGAGCAGTAGTTTATAGAGGGGTCGCCGGATGTGGCGCAAGCCTATAGAATCTACTCGTTGTGTGGCGCTGCAGATCTATAACCTTCTGGCGAGCAAATGTGCGGTCGCTCTCGTGTTCGTTTTCTAGTGCCAGTGCCGCACCAGCACATCGTTCCTCCTTGCTCATCCTCCCCTCCCGCTAATTTCTCCGCCCTCTTGTTGTTCCTCCTCCGAGGTATTCGGAAACCTTCGGATGCATACGAATACACCCAGAAACCTCCACAGACTTCCACAAACCTCCGAACAGCTCGAGGAACTTCATGAGAACCCCGAGACCTTTGCGCAGACCTCCCTCCCTCCCCTCCCCTCCCCTCCCCTTGGGAGACCCAAGTACGCACCGAGTCTCACCAGTACGCGCCGAGAGGGCCCCCATGGATGCCCAAGAAGGGAGGGGGAGCAGCAGGACAGCAGGACGGGGGAGGGATGAGGGAGGAGGGAGAAGGAAAGGCGAGGAAGGAGGAGGGCCCCCGAACTCCCGAACTGTGATTCCAGAGCTCTCGACCTCCTGCTGGGGACTGCTTCTTCGTCCAGGGTCTCTCGTCGGACCTCCCGGGGCCCAGGAGGGACCCCAAGACGCCCGACGTGTTGACGAGATGGCCGCCTCGGAGTTCGAGAAGCGCCAGACGACTGAGCCACCTCCCCTGCTGCGCCCCTCCTCGTGGCCCTGCACTGCTGCGAGGGACACGACGCCCTCGGAAAGGTCCTGGCGCACGCCGCGGGCCCAGAAAGCGGCGGCCGAGGCGCCCTGGCGGCCAGACCCCCTCGGGGACGAGGAGCATCCTCCGCCGTCCTTCCCCCAAAGATCTCGGACGACGTCACGAGATCGCACGACGAGGTGTTTCTGACCCGTCGGCCTCCCGCGAGCCATTTGTGTGGGCCACGCGGCCGCAACAAACAAAGAAAACGCCCGGGGTGAAGAGTCCAGCTTTGGGGAAGCGGTCGACGGCTCCAGCGGCCAGCTCCCCTCCCGCCCTCCGCCCCCGACCTTCGAGAGCCAGCCCCGGAGGTGGGGTCGAGAGCTCGAAAAAATCGCGACGCCGGCTGTCTGGGTAATTGTAGAGCCAACCCGCATAGGAAGGATGGGCAACGTTCCAAGGCTACCCTTGCATCCTTCCCCTTCGGCCCATCCTTGGCCGCTTTCGCTGGCCGCGCCCCGCTGGCAAAAAGGTCGGCATGGCCTTCACAGGCCCTTGCATTCTTACCGCGCATCCTTACTGCATGGGTTGACTGTAGACTCCCTCCCGCCTTCGCCCTCCCTCCCTCCCTCCACATTCTTCCTCAGGCCCGACCAATTTTGAGACGGGCGGCCACAGTAGGAGGAGGAGGAGGAGGACCAGTGTAAACCCAAGGCGCACCAACGATGTTGCAATACACCCTCACTCCAAGTTCCCTTCTTCGTAGGCCCCTACAAAGAATAATGTTCACTGCCGGAAGTCCCCCGTTAGGAGACAACCGCCTGAGAATCCTCAATCGTGCAAAAACACGAACCCTGGGATTTCAATAACGCGAAGCAACTGGTGCGTCGTTGCGTCCTGACGATGCTGAGTCGCGCCAGAACGCTGTTCCTGGGACTTCAACGCCGCGAATCAGCGTGACTGTTGCGCCCTGAGAGATTATAAATCGCGCCACAACACCATTCCTGGGACGTCAACTATGGCGATCCTGAAATTGCTGTGACATGTGAAAACGACTGTGCTCCTGCATACCCATAAATCGAGTTTGCGCGGCGCTAAAGCGAGATCCCCATTTTGAAAAAAAAACGCCATCCATCCGTGCAACTCCTGCATACTTTTCAAACGAATGCTCGCGGCACCAAGGGCAAGCTGACGACGCAGACAGTCTGGGCCTCGACCTGGGCCGACCACTTGGCGTTGTGACCATAATCATAAACTCATGTCACGGCTGCTTCGCAGGACGGCCCAGCATCTCGAAAACGAGTTGGCAGAGGTCACCCACGCTCGGGGTGCGTCGGTCCCGCTTATATCCCCCACACGGTGGCCGCCGCGGCGACGCCGTCGTTGTGGGAGTGAGCCTTTCTGCGAGGGATAAGTACAGCATTCCCATGCGTTGCCCCAAGCCACGCGGACGTCGCAGCCCACGGCGGGGGCGGGGGGCGACATCCAGCCTCCAGCTGGGATAAGGAGGATCAAGGAGGGGTGTGGGCGAGGAGGAAGGAGGAGGACGAGAGAGAAAATCATAACAGACCCAATGTTAGTCAACCATGCTTGAAAAAACACCCGCCAGACCAAAATGAAATACTCCTACGTCCTTGTAGGCATGCCTTCAACTATGGGACGCGTCCCTTTTGAAAGACGACGCGCCGCATGCGCCTGCCATAGGCGATAGCCCTCCACCCTTTCCAGCTGTTACATCAAAAAATGAGCGTGATCCGCGTTTGGAGGAGGAGCCGCCCTCCGCACGCACTATGGTTGCACACTTCCTGGACAGCTGATCCTGAATTTTGACAGGGTGGCCAGCAGCAACCCCATGAACACGAACCGCCAACCACCCGGCCAGGAACTCTCCAAGCACGAGCGGCTACTAAAACCTAACAGGCGGTCTCAAACGACAGCCCCGTTTTGATGAAGGACCCGTTTTATGCCCGTGTAGGCATTAAGGCATTGGAAGTTCTAGCGATAGCCGCATTGTGAAAATCTGGGCCGTCCTCCATGTGTGTACTCATTGGCCACATTAACACAAGTGGCAGGGTCAGTCAACATCGAATAGGATGTACAACAACGCCATGCGAGCATCGGGCCTGATCGGAACATCTGAATATCCGAGCCGAATCGGATCGGCTCGGCCAGAGCCGATATCGACTCGGACCGAACGGATCGAAGCGGTTCCTGAGTGGGCGCAGACTGAGGCGAGATCCCACACCCTGAGACCGAGAAACTGGTCCGCCCTCCAACGATCACCCCACTTTGAAAATGGCCGCCCTGCATCCGTTCATCATCTAATCTGGACAGCTCAAGCGCAAGGATCACAAGGGGCAAGGGAGTCCCTGGCAAAACGCCCGGCCGCCCCCTACTGGCATTTCTGGTGGTGCGACGAGGAGAAGGTATGTATGACGGAGGGACCGATGTAGGAGGAATATGGAGGGAGAAGAGACGAAGGACACTGACTGAGCATGCCCTTCGATAAAGGTACCTTCGGACGTGCGCCTGGCCTGAAGTCTCAGAGCAAGGAGAGCGCAGATGGGGAACAATATCAGCAGGATGCGGGATCTGACAAAGCTTACCGTCAGATGAAGGGAACGTTGGGATAGATAGTCGAAGCGGGTAAACGCCAACGGAGGAAGCAGGGAGGAGGGAGAGAGGGGGGGAATGAATGAGGGAGCAAGAAGGAGAGGCAAAGCCGAAAGAGGAGGTTGGACAAGAACCGTCAGCGAGGGAGCGTGGGCGAGCAACGTAAAGCCTCCTCCTGCCATCCATACTCCCCTTCCCTTCCCCGTTCCTCCTCGCCTCCACTAATGCACGCTCCCAGTGGATCGCACGCACTGTGCCGAAGAAGGTGGCTGAGCCAAAGAGGGGTCCGACCTGGAAAATCCACGAGCACAGCATCGCGAAGCTGGGGCTGGTGAAGTTGATGATGACTAGCCTGCGAGCTGCTGTCGCTGTGGAAGCTCAAAGAGCGGCAGCAGCAGTAGAGGCAGCGGCAAGGAGGACTCACAATCCAGGAGAGCAGCAGCGGCAAGGAGCAGCAGCAGCGGCAACAGTAGCGGCAGTCAATCTGACCAAGGGCTCGCAGGTAGGGGAGGCATGCTAGCCTCACCTCATTCCTAGTCAACGTCCTCGTCCTTCTCCCCACGTTTCCTGCTCCTCCTCCTCCTCCTCCAACCTCTCTCTCCCTCTCTCTCTCTATTATCCTGCCCTTTCGAGGGGCAGACCCCTCCGTCTCATCATACTCATTATCCCCCGTGCTCCTCCTCCCAGTTCCTTTACCAACATCCATCCTCCCTTCAGCTGCAACTTGCCTGCGTTCCGGACGATCGGGTCCAATAACCCATACAGTCAGCGTGATACATTCGGAAATCTTGATAAGGAGCGAAACCCCGTTTTGGCCCCGAAAGCGCCCGGGTGCTACAGGAACAACCAAGAAAGGACCTCGGGAACAGCGAAAACCTTTCAAACCAAACTTGACCCTCAACTCAACGTCTCGCATGCACAATGACATGAGAGGATCTATATCCAAGTTGGCCCAAGGGCCTTTCCTCTGGGAAGCGTCCCGCTCAAGAGGGCGACAACTCTGCCAGAGGGCAGCCCGTCCATCGGACAGGCAACCGTCGCAGTAAGGCAGAAGACCTCGTCCTCCTCTTCCTCATTCCTTCGCAATGCTGCCCTTCGCAGAATGATTTCGCTTCTCCTCCTCCTCCTCCTCCTCCTCCTCCTCCTCCTCCTCCTCCCTCCTCCCTCCTCCCTCCTCCCTCCTCCCCTCCTCCCTCCTCTCCTCCTCCTCCTCCCTCCTCCTCCTCCTCCTCCTCCTCCTCCTTTTCCTCCCCCTCCTCCCTCCTCCTCCTCCTCCTCCTCCTCCCTCCCTCCTCCCTCCCCTCCTCCCTCCTCCCTCCTCCTCCTCCTCCTCCTCCTCCGTCCTCCTCCTCCCTCCTCCCTCCTCCCTCTTCCTCTCCCTCCTCCCTCCTCCTCCTGCTCCTGCTCCTGCTCCTGCTCCTGCTCCTGTTCCTGCTCTCCTCCTCCTCCTCCTCCTCCTCCTCCTCCTCCTCCTCCTCCTCCTCCTCCTCTCCTCTTCCTCCTCCCCCTCCTCCTCCTCCTCCTCCTCCTCCTCCTCCTCCTCCTCCTCCTCCTCCTCTGGTAAGAAACAGGGTTGCGGCACAACCCCGCTAAGCTACCCTGTAACGCACCCCGAGGGGGGCACGGGCGCCTAATATGTTTCAAACTGGCCCTCAATTGATTAAAGTGGTTCGAACTGGTTGGGGGATTCTTCAACCGTCCGGGCTGTTGATGCAATGTGCTATTTAGATTGAATGGCGATGCAGACAGTCATGCCACGCATGCTACGGTACAAGCGGTGAGCCTTATACAACGGAAGGGGGCAGCATAACACGGTACACCGCTTGCGAGCCACCCCACCTGGGAGGGGAAATGAGCAGAGTACGGGAGGGATATGGGTTTATCAGTCTCCCCCTCTCGAGCAGGAGCCAGGGCCGACCAGATGGGAGATGCGGAGGAGGCGGGGGCAGATGGAGGCGAGTAGCAAACGTAAGCCGCCACTTGATCCTCATCGTTCTTCTCCTCTCCTCCTCATCCACCGCCCCCCCGCCCGAGGTCTCAACCCTCCACCGCTCACCCCGCGCCGCACTCAGTGCGGCGCGGGGTGAGCGGTGCCAGCGGAGTCGTACAGCCAGTGGCGTTCCGTTCGTCGCCGCGTTGTCGCGACCGCTTTCACCGTCGCCGCCGTCGCCACCACGACCCGCCTAAAGCCCAAGTACACGAGCACAATCGAACGATCGTTGGCTTATCGATTCGCATCGATCACCGTCCACCTCCCCCTTTTTGGCCCACCAGGGCCCGAACAATACAGACGCGGACGCCCGCCCCCCAACCTCATGCGCCATTTTTCCACCGTGATTGCTCCCTCTTGTTCCGACGGCCCAGCTTTAGCATCACCCGCCGTATCCTCCATTACCCCGCTCTGCCCTGCCCTCCGCCTTCCACCTCCCTCCCCTACACCCCCCCCCCCCCCGCCCTCCCAGCCCCGACTCGCACCTCCTCCTCCTCCAGTCGCCATTATACCCTCCAGGTGGTAAAGGTCGACGCCGATGGACGGACGCAACTGCGATGACGGGAGCAACGGCGACACCGAACCGAAGTGTTCAGACCATGGCCGTGTCTGGCCACGCGGTGCTGGCGCGGCGCGCGGGTGCACGGCTGAGATGCTGGCGCTAGCAACAGCTTCGTCGCCACCACTTGGGACTGGGCAGTGCGAGCGGCCTCAATCGGAATTCTCATCAAACGAGCTGTCCTTATCCTGATGGTCATCCTGGCAATTCGGCTCTTGGGCGTCGGCCGCTTGCCCCGAGGGTGCTGGGCCGTCTCCTGGCGGCGCCTCGCGCGGCTGCCCCGACGATGCACTTCCCCCGCCGAGGTTGTCCGCATCGGGCGCAGCATCTCCCTCGGGGCAGACCTGGGTGTCAATGCATGTTTCGGCTGCCATCATCTTCTGATCGAACCTGCCCATGTGCTTCTGGTACATGGTCGGGTCGTGTGCCTTGGCGATCTTGCTGTAGAAGAAGTGCGATGCCAGGTGTTTCTTCCACATGCGCTCGATGGTCTTGTTCTTCTCACGGCTGACATCCGACAGACGGTTCTCGAGCTCCTCGCGCCCGAGCCGCTTGATCACAGGCTTCGTCAAAGCCATCGCAAGGCGCGACCGTGGACGCGCTCAGGGCGGCTGCTGGCGCGGCGATACAGACTAAGCCACAGTAGCTAAGGACTGCCAAACGCCCGACGGGGCGAGCCTGTCCGCGGTCGAACGCGGCAGCCGCGAATGCTGACCGCAGCCAGGTTGCCCAAAAGGGCTGGGCGGAGCGGGACTGAGCACCAGGTCAACCGACGCGCCCACTGGCCATTGTTGTCTGAATGGCACGCCCCATTCAGACAACAGAGGCCAGCGCGGCCGCCACCCGGCCAAGCATCAACTTTGCAGGGGGGGGGGGGGGCCTGCAAAGTTGATAGATACTTGGCGATAGCCAAAGCGATAGTGATGCCGGGGGAACAGTGGGATAGGGAGGAGTTGGCAGGAACGGGCGGGTTCTAGGTGGCATGGCCCAGGAGTCTCAGACAGACGTCGGCGACGCACTCCGTTTGCACTGGGCTCGCCGATCGAGACCCCTCGCTGGGTCGGAACAGCGCCAACCACTGAGCTCAGAGCGCCTTCACTAAAACTGGACTCTGCGAAGCGGGCGAGCAAGGGAGAAGTGACCAAGGGGGCGCCGATGCGTGATGTAAGAAACTGAGACGTGACATCGTGGAAGGGGGACGTGAACTTCTGGGGGGGGAAGGAGGGGCACAAGGCGGAGACAGGGCGCATGAGAAAGCTGATAAGTCGCAACCAAACTGCGAGCTCGCCTCACTTCGTCAATTCCGAAAAGGATGCCAAACGATCCTTCCACATCGCGGCGGACTCGGCCTCGAGCTGCTTCAAGTTCCAATTCTGGATGCCTTGCCACACGTTGGACGGGAGCTCGGAGGCCCAATTCTTCACGAAGATGTGCCATACCCAAGCAAAGGCGATGCCCTCGCACTGCTCTGACGGCTTGAAGGCAGTGAAGAGTGGCAAGCACGCGTAGCCGTACGGCACCCACAACGACCCGACATTCATCTTGATGGGCGTCACGGACTCCTCCACGTACGTCTTACCGTCATCCGTAGTGAGGAAGCCCGTTGCATCAGTCAGCGTAATGCCCTTCGTCAACAGGGGCTCGATCGCCAAGAGCTCGACCACCATGGGCGTCTCGACGGTCACGAAGCAACCGACACCAGGAAGGGGCCATGACTTGGGCCCGTACTTGAACACCTCCTTCTTGACAGACGCAAGCCACGGGCAAAGACCCTTGCTGCCCGTGCCAGCGGCGGCGCCCCATGGGCTTTCGCCCAGGTCGTACTTTTCGAACGTGGCTGGCTGAACCTGGGGAAGACTACCAAGGCAGCCATTGCACGTGGGATTGTCCATCAACTTCTTGGTCATATTCTCGACCTTCTCTGGCAATGAGACACGCCTCCTCTTCTCATCATCGACCATCTCGAATCGGTTATCTTAACCGCGTCCGAGTTCACATCGGCCTTTCTCCAAACAGAGATCACCTTGTGGTCGAATGCATCGGGGTCCACCGCGGCATTGGCTGGAGGCTTATCCGAATAAAGCATGCCTGGCTGAAGCTTAGCAAAGTTCTTGTGGAAGCCACCGCTCACGAGACGGTTGACGACTTTCGTGCGCTCGTACCGCCCATGTAAGGACTCCTTCCGCTCGGCGAGCCTCCTCCTTCAACAAGTACCCGATGGCCACCATGTGCTCCTGAGCCTTCGCCACCTCGACGCTGACGAGACTCACGGCCGACTCAACCGATGCCAGAGTTTCCTCCAGCTGCGAAGCCCTCGTAGAATCAATGGTCTCCTTGAGCATCCGCGCCTTAGTGACCGCATCACTCAGCTTCTTGACGACATCGGCTGTGACAGTATCCAGGTACTTCCTGTTCTCCGCGCTGATCTTCTTGTCCGCCACCGTCATCCTCACGCAGATGCCCCATGGCCCGCTGACGTGCTGCTCCGCGTCAGCGATCTTCTCGCGGAGGGCGGCCTTCTCCTTGAGCAGCTGGATAGCAGTGATCTCGGTGCCAGACATGGCGCTGGCCACGCTGACAGCGTCGCCGCCCCGCGAACGTGCCCTGTCATAGTCTCGGGGCGCCGTGGCGCTGAGCCGCGGAGCCAGCTTCGCAGGAGCAGGCGGGCTCGGGCTGGGCCTCGGGGCGCTGCGCGCGCGGCGGCCGGGGGCATCCGACAGCGCCCCGTCGTCGCCACTCAGACCCTCCAAAGGCGCATCGGCCAAGGCGGCCAAGCGGCGAACCCGACGCCCTGCGCCTTCGCCCTGAGACTTGCCGCCGTTGCCGCGACGCTGCCGCCCGAAGCCCCCGCGCGGGTAGTCGTCGCCGCCCGCCCCTGACCTCTCGATTACACCCGCCTTACCACGCTGTCTGGGGTTGTCAGCCACAAGGACACACCGCTCTCCTGCCTCGTTGAACTTCTTGATGCCCATGGACTCCAACCTCCTGAGCTCGTTGTCGAAATCTTCCGACGCCGCGTCCGACTCGACCTTGTCCCAATGACCGGCGTAAGATGTGTACCTGCGCTGGTTCAGAAACAGCTTGTCCTTGATGTCCTCCTGGGCCCAATACTTCTCGACGTGCGCTGCTTTCGCCTTGATGCGAGATATGCTTTCAGCGCGGCTCCTTCCACCCTCGGCCTTCTTCATCAAGAGAACGTCATTTCTCCAGTCGGTCGGGTCCTCGGACGCGTTCTTGTCGGCGACATCAAGAGCCTTCTGGTACTTCTCCAGGGTCCGCCTGCACGCGCGCGCGGCGTTGAAGCACTCACCCCCGTGGAACAGCAACCCCTTCCAGGTTTTGGCAATGCCGTTGCCCAGCGCATCCAAGCACAAGAAACAGGTGAAGCCGTCCCCGCCCTCCTCGCCCATGCCAGCAGGCAGAGCAGCGCACGAGGCAGCGCGGCCCCACCTCCTCTTCACAGGGGGCGCCACCGCGCCCGCAGGGCTGCCCGCCATGTCGCCATCGCTCATCGTGGACTGAAGATCGCAACCACAGAGAGCTGCAACCAACGCAAGCTGCACAGAGATTGGTGCCAAGGACGCAATGCGAATAAACAAACCTGACTTGGCCTATGTTGATTTTGAGCCGACGTGCGTTGCGGAATGCATGCCGATCGGGTTGCCCAATGTTGTTATCTTTGGCAGCGCGGGGACTGGGTTGCCATCTCTACGAACCCAGAGCGCGGGGACGCGGCTGCCCCCTGGGCGCGGGGACGGGGCTGCCCCCTGAGCGTTGGGATGCCCCCCCCCCCCCACCTTGGGCGTTGGGTCTGGGCCTCCATCTCGTGCAAGCCCTGGGCGTGGGGACTGGGCTCTTGGAGCCCTCCTGAAACCATTTGGGGACCTCCCGAGGGAGGGTAAGCGATGGGAATCAGGATGCCCATCTGTTTCGTTTGTTCTGGGGGCCAGCTGCTGCCCTCTTGGGCCCTCTTGCCCTCTTGGAGCCCTATTGGTGCCGGCTTGGGGCCACCGCGGGGCCCTCTTGGGGCCCCCCTGCGGCGGTTTGGTTTCTGAGGGGGGGGAGGGGGGGGGTCAAAGAACAACCTTGAAAAGCAACAAGGTGCCCAACGATGGGAATCATGATTCCCATATGTTTCGCTTGTTCCTGGGGCTGAGGCTGGCCACGGAACGACCGAGCAGGGGAGAACATGACCCCCGTCGGTGTCCTCCTGGGGCCTTCCTGGAGCTTCCAAGCGGAGCCGTGAACAAGGAAACGTGGTTGAGGAACGTTCTCATCCACTTTCACGCTTTCGCCCTGGGGTCTTGGGGAGCCGTCATGGAGGCGCTTTGGGGCCCCTTTGGAAGCCCGTTGGGCCGTCTTGGGCCCTCCTGGGGGGTCGCTGGGCGCCGTCCTGGTGGTCGTTGGAAGGTCAGTCGGCGCCTTCCTGGTGCTCTCAAGCGGAGCCGTTAAAAGGAAAAGTGGCCGAGGAACGTCCTCATCCACTTTCACGCTTTCGCCTTTGTTTTGAGGGGGGGGGGGCATGTGGAGGCACGTTGGGGCCCCTTTGGAAGCCATTGGGCCGCAGTGGGCCCTCCTGGGGGTCGCCGGGCGCCGCCCTGGAGCGGCGTCTGTCGAGCGCGCTTCTCCTGCCGCGCCATTGCACCCCAGAGAGACTTCCAGCACAAAGACTCCCCCCCTCCATCCCTCCCTCTCATCTTCCTCTGCATCGCCATCCTAGCGCGTCCCCCTCCTCTCCTCGTCCTCCTCTCCCTCGTGGAGCCGAGCCCCGAGCCCCCTCCGCCCCCTGCTCCTCATCCTCCCTCTTCCGCCGTCCGCATCAATTTCGGTTGCGCCGATTCGCGGCGGTGGCCCCTCGGATGGCGAGCTGGAAGACCTTGCAGCAACCGTAATGTCATGCACTTGTTTGTTCTTCTTCTCCTGCGTTCGATCGAGCACGTACGAAACCTCGGCGCACGCAAACGCTACATTGGCAGCCACGCCAGCACAGCGCGGCTGGCGACAACAAGTTTAAGGGGTGCAGCGCGCTCGTGCATGCACAACGACATCACACGCTGAATGCGCATTCATACCACGTAGTGCCATGCACAGCTGTTATAAACACGACACCGCTGAATTCATCAGAAAAGGCAGTGGTTTAATCTGGGGATTTGTGGTTTAAACTGGCTCGCGTTGTGACCCAGACTGGTTAAAACTGGGGGTTTGTGGTTTAAAATGGTTCTGGTGGGGTTTCATCTGGGGATTTGTGGTTTCATCTGGGGAAGTGTGGGTTAATCTGGGGATTTGTGGTTTCATATGGTTCGCGCACTTGCCCTATACATTCATCATGCGTTGTTGCGATTCATCACGACTTGCGTTACGTCAGTCAAGCGTAACACAGACATGCTTGCACGCACGCGCTCACACATCATGCCAGTGCTGCAGCGGCGCGCGCATCACAAGACATTCCACTTAATGAACGCATCCACGGCTGCCCGTGGTGGTCTGCACTTGCGATGCGCGCCCCTGCCCATGCGACCAGCAGCCTGGGTCCAGCACCCTAAATAGTACATGGCCGCTCGGTCGCCAAACATGCTAGCACCTACATCTGTCGAACGCGACCTGCTGCAGCTGCCATGCAGCGGGCAGTCCACCGACAATCTCGCGGCACAGCTATAGCCGCTCTTCACAGTCTCGCCGACTTTCTTCAAATGGCAATCGAGGATGACATCGGGGAACCTACCGAGCACTGGATTCCCCCCACCATCGATGTCGTCCGCAGTGAGGGGGGCCCAGCTTCGGGGGGTCTGCCTCGGCCTTGCGTTTCACCCCCTGGCTCTCGCCCCCGCCTGCTGAGGAGCTCGCCTTCCATTTACCGCCGAAGCCGCGCCCCCCGGGCATCGGCAGTCGAGGCGCCCCCCCCCCCCCCCCCCCCCCCCTTCAGCGCAGGCGCCAACCGATCGGATCCTTCAGGGAGAAGCCCGAGCTGACGCTTGCGCTCCTTGGCAGACAGATTCGGGTCGAGTTGGGTTTGGAGGTTCATGGGGAGTGCGCGCCACGCCTCAGAGCACCCTTATGGAAACCATTTAACGCCAGCGTGGATCAGCGCATCTGACATCAGGAGGCATTGAAGATAAGCCCTGCTCCTCGGTAAACGCCTGAGGTCGTAGACCTGCAGGCTGCAGGCAGGGTCGGAGGGGGGGGGGGGGGGCGGGCGCCCACGGAAAAGATCGGGGGGGCGCAATGTTATCACAGCGGCAAGCACTGGGCGGCGTAAATTACGGGGGAGGGGGGGGGGGGAGAACGATGAGGGTTACGAGGGAAGGGTCGGGGCGCTTGGCGGGGCAGCGGTCCATCAGGCAGGGGCCGGCATGCCGCTATGAGGCCCATCGAGCGCCCACGGTTCCCAGGTGTCCAGCACGCTGTGCCTGTGACTTCCCCCGCCTCCGAAAGACCCAAGGCGAGCCCCTGGTCCGAATGCAAGAGCTGGCGAGACCCCGACGCCCCCCCCTGAACTAGCGGCCCAGGGCCCGCACCACAGGCCCCCCCCCTGCGCACGTGCGCCCGTCGTTCCAGGGGCAGGCAGTCGCCATCGAAGGTAACGGCAGCGGCAAGCAGGCAGCAGCAGCTGGGGCAACGCGGGAGCACACAAACACACAGCGCGCGCATGAACACGGCACGCGCGAGCGCGGGCAGTATGTGATCACGCGTGCTCACGCGTGCGACCTAGGCAACAACGCACAAACGTTCCCCTGCGAGTCGGTTGGGGTGGCGAGCGATGGAGGAGGATTATGTATAGCACGCCCCTGCCTCATCGGCATCGGCGCGGCGCTTCGTCTTGCACGCGACGGGCGTCCAGCCCTCCTCGTGCAGCGCATCCATTAAGCACAAGACTGGCAATGTCGAGCTCGAGAGCGGCACGGTTGGCAAGATCGGCGATGGCCCACTTAGTTTGACACAGCCCTCCACCTCGGAATCTCCGACTATCCAGTTCAGCCAGCCGTGCCTCGTGTCAGGGTCGGTGCTGCACATGCTCACCACATCGACGTAGGCTGGGCCCTCAATCGCGAACACATCGGCGACATCGCAGAGGCAGTCTGGGTCCTTGGACATCGGGCAGGACACCTCCAATGGCTGCGCGCCCAGCTTAAACAAATATGGCTCTGGGTCCTCGTACGTATCAGGACCGATAAATTTCTCGTCCTTGCTCAACACCTGGAGATACCGAACGTGGAAGCCGTCGCCTTCCGCATCCTGAACGGGCATCGATATGTAAGAGAATGGCTCGAGAGCGCCCCCGAGATACTGCCGCATCAGAAGCACCATGCCGTCGACGGCGCCATGGGGGGCATGCCCCGTGCCACTGCCATGGCCACTCGGTTTACCACCGCCGCCGCCCCCCGCCTTCTTGCGCCTCTTGCCGCCACCGTGGCCCCCTCCAGGGCCCACAGAGCCGCCGCCCCCATCATCGTCGATGTCGTCGTCGCTGCCGAAGCCGCCAGGCGCTGGCCCTGGCGGCGGAGGGTCTGCAAGGTCGTCTGGTCCGCCGCCTGGTTCGTCGGGTGCGTCGTCGGCGTCGTCAGATGGTTCGAGCATGTAGGACATGCGGTAGACGTATCGAGTCAACTTCGCCCTCGGCGCGCGCCTCGGCCGCATCGTCGATCTCGCGCTCTGCGCGTGCAGCATAGACGAACAGCGGCGCCATAATGAAGCCGAGGGCTCGCCGCACATCGGCATCAAGTCGCCAATGTCATTGAAATTCTGCTCTGATCGGGTGGTCGACGCCACCCATGCCCAAGTGGATGCGGGGCTGTGGTCGGCAACCTTCTTCACCCTCGCATTCGGGCCCCTCAGCGACGCTGTCGTCGAGCGGGATCGCCTCGAGCCCCTGGGCCTCCAGCCGAAGCCGTTCGGATGGGATGGCGCCGTCGGGGCTGATCGCATCAACCAGTTGGCGAAGAGGCCCCCATGGTCGTAGGAATTTGCGGGTGACCTGGGACAGCCGCGAGAAACCATTCGTCTACATATCACGCCTGCGCCCCGCGCCCCCGCCGCGCCACGCCGCCCCGCCCCGCCCCCCCGCCGCCGCTTTCGGGGGAGAGGGCGCACATAATGAAAGCTGGCGGTCGGCGGCGGCGGGGGGCGCGGAGGGGGGGGGGGGGGGGGGGGGGGGGGGGGGGGGGGGGGGGGGGCGTCGTCGCGTTGGACCTTGAACTTCGCACCCTCTGCGCCGCCCCTCGCCCACCCCTGGGCAGTTGAAACGCGCCCGCGACATCTTCGCGCCCGTGGGGTTTGGCACGCCAGCGAGGACCTCATGGCGCTGGCCTGCAGGGGCTGACACACACTGGCGCACGCACCTGTCGCGGACGCCTGGCCTGTCCAAGTTGACCAGCAGCCGCGGCACCATAGCCAGACATTTGATCTTCTCGCTCGCCAAGCGGAAAACAGCTCGAACGCGCCCAATACATTGCTGACACATGCGAACGTCGCCCCCGAACTTGTTGACCCCCCACTCGTCCGCCTCGGCCAGGCC